TATCTACAAGAGCCCAATTATGATGGGACACTGTGTCACAGCATCCAGTACAGATCTGGAGACAAACGCTACATGTTAGTTGGACCCAGGATGAGTATAGGATCTACTATAGTCCCAGGAAGCCATGCCAATACTCTAGTGCTGCCTGACAGGAGGGGGACATCTGGAGAGGTAAGCCTATGTTTTGATTTCAAATTAATGAATAGTTTTCATCCATAAGAATTCACTCTGGGTTTGTAAAGAATATTTCTTCGTAAAATTAATAAAATTACCACTATAATCAATGAAAATAATTATATTCCTTGCTGTTTTAATTTAAGTGTTTTCTCAATGTTTGGTATTTCTCTCTTAGAAAATTAAAACGTGCTGGCTACTACAATGACACAATGTTTAAATGTGCTGAATTGTATTTGTGGTGTAATTGGTCTAACTGGTAATTTTACCTTGGTATTTGAGTTTCAGTTCGAATATGTATTTTGAATCAATAGCTTTAAAACTAAACATTTCACGGCGCTGTCCATGGTGCTGACACTGAGTCACGCTACGTCGTAGTGGAGGAGTGTCAAGGAAGAAAGTTTTAATGCTTTGTGTATTTCATCTATGAATTTCAAAGAGCAAAGTTGTGGCTTGTATTTTTAGAGATTTGCTACTTCCTGTTTTCTTACACACCACAGTAGTGGGTCAATACAAATCTGAACGCATCTTCTCAAGCTTTCCCAGGAATTCCTGGAAAAATTTTAGTTTGTATACAATGGCAATTAGATTGGAGTGCGGTGGACATTGTGTCCATAATGTAATTTACAATACGTCTATCACACCACAGTTTCAATCTTGGACTGTGGAAACACATTACCATCTTCGTTTATGAGCCGGGTTAGAAACTGGTCATATTGTGCACTATCCACGAGGTGTCAGTGTCATATCAGCATAGAATTGTTGCGTTATGGAGATGGCCCTGCCCCTTCCAAAGAGGTTTTGTTCTGATCGACAGACAGAACGCTGTAAAACCTTCCACACAAACGACTGATGCCGTTACGCACAGAGTGAGGCTGGAAATATGGGAGACGGTTCCTCAGCGTACTTTGTGTTTTAGACGATTTCCTCCTTCAAAAGTACCTTTGAGTGGATACAACAATAACAACAGTCATCTGAGCTGAGGCGATGGGACAAAGACGAGGAATACACGCATGGTGGGTGGCATTTCGTTTTTCTGTGATGCTGAGCTGCGTAATGCGGGTTTCAGCTCAGATCAAATATTCTGTTCCAGAGGAAGTGAAGGTTGGATCTATTGTTGGAAATGTCGCAAAGGATCTAGGACTCGACATCACTTCATTGGATGAAAGACGCTTTCGTATCGTCTCCGGAACAGAAGATTCTCAGTTTGAAGTACATCAGAACAATGGCGTGTTGTACGTGCGTAAAAGCATCGACCGGGAGGAGCTCTGTGAAAGCGCTTCGCCGTGTGTAGTAAACCTGAAAATGGTCGCTGAGAATCCTATGGAAATACATTATGTGGCAGTGGAAATCGTTGATGTAAACGATCATACACCAAGTTTTCAGGAGGAAGAACATGTATTAGAAATTTCTGAGTCTACTGTTCCCGGTAAACGCTTCCAATTACCAACAGCGCACGACCCAGATGTTGGCATCAATACAGTTCGTGTGTATAAATTAAACCATAACGATTTTTTTAATATACAAATAAGAGAGAGAGGAGATGACAAGATACCATTCTTAGTTTTACAAAAATCTCTAGATCGAGAAAAACACAATGAGCACAAACTGATATTGACAGCGGTTGATGGTGGAAATCCACCGAGATCAGGGACTCTTAATGTCACAGTCGTCGTCCTCGATTCAAATGATAATCATCCTATATTTAGCCAAGAAGTGTATTCAGTAACAATACCTGAAAATGTCAAAGCTGAAACAAGTGTAATTACAGTAACAGCAACTGATCTGGATGAAGGTGCAAATGGAGATATTGAATATGTGTTTGGTGGTAAAATTGACCGGAAAATATACGACATGTTTATCTTAGATAGAGACACTGGGGAAATCCGAGTAAAAGGTGACATTGACTTTGAGCAGATTGACGTTTTTAAGTTAGACGTCCATGCCACTGACAAAGGACAACCTCCAATGAGCACTGATTGCAGAGTGATAATAAAAGTTCTGGACGAAAATGACAACAAACCTGAGATAGAGGTGACGTCGCTGTCAAAGATGGTATCTGAAGACTCAAAACCCGGGACGGTGGTTTCTCTTATTAGTATTTCTGACAGAGACGCTGGTTTAAACGGAAAAGTAATATGTAGTCTTTCAGATAATGTGTCATTCGAATTAAAACCGTCATTTCAAGATAATATGTACTCGTTAGTTTTGAAAAATCGCTTGGATCGAGAAAAGGTGTCACATTATGACATTGAACTAACTGCGACAGACTGTGGGCAGCCCCCTCTGTCTACATTCAAAACTCTGAGTATTGATGTATCAGACGTGAATGATAACAACCCAGAGTTTCTGCAGAATCCAATCGAACTTTATCTGGTGGAAAATAACGTGCCAGGAAATATTATATTTTCTGTGACAGCTTCGGATAAAGACTTGAATGAAAACGCAGCTTTAACTTATCATATTGTGAGAGAGGAAGTTAGTCAAGTTAAAAATGCAGCATTTTTAAGTATCAACTCAGATAATGGACAAATATCAGCGCTAAAAAGTTTCGACTTTGAAACGGTGAAAACTTTCAAGTTCCACATTGTAGCGTCAGATTCTGGAACTCCGTCACTGAGCAGCAACGTCACAGTGAACGTGTTCATTCTGGATCAGAACGACAACGCTCCAGTCATCCTGTATCCA